CTACATACCCTATGCCCCCCCACAGAGCGACAGCCCTTCACAACCCCCCCAGCCCCAACCATCCTCACACACAATATACAAGACTAAGAATTTATTTTTGAGTAGTTATGCAATCCCCTCTACATACAGTATGCAAACACAAGTCATAGCAATAATACTTTTTGTAATAAAATTAAACTATGTTGTAGTAGAAGTTTGACTTTTAGTGTATGATTCGGTTTTTCTCTGGTTCTAAAATGGCAAGCCCCCCTCCCAAAAGGAGTATTTCCAGAGGACAAGGGGAGGGACTGCTGGTGGCAAAGGTTAGGGGTGGGACTTCTGGTCCCAAGGTGGCAACCAGGGCGTGGGGCAACTGTTGAGGGGCAGGGCTACCCATGCAGCCCTTGAAAGCGCACCAAACCCTGTTAAGCAGCCCTCCACCCAAAATAATTGCCTGCCCCTGCTCTTGAAGAATCACTCATGCCAGCTTGCTTTCCAATATAGCTGTATCAAGAGCCACTTCTTCTAAACATTGTTTACTTGTCTGAAAGAACCTCAGTAATGGGGAGCAGGGCTGCAGGGGTGGAAGAGAAGTGGGAAATAAAAGTCTCTCTCATATGTTTGGAAAGCCCCTGCTCAACAAAAGAACAGTAGTTTCCCTAGGGCTTGCCTGCCACAATACTGAGCGTCAATGTGAGACAATATCACTTTAAAATAGAACAGAATAGTTCTTCTAGTAATTTTATGTTTCAAAGTCCAGTTTTTTTTCCCCTTACACAATTTAAATACAATTATTAAGGGCAATTCCTGATACTAGTTTTTCCTGAAAGTTCTTAGGAAGGCACTACCAAAAGTTAAGAAAAGGACACGAAAAATATTTGATCCATGTATACCAGGAAGGGATAAGACCTGACCTTGTTAAGAAGATCTTTTAACTCCTCCTGAGTTTTTACTATTTTCTTCCAGTGTTCAATCTGTTCATCCTTCACATGCTTCTCTTGCAATCTGGAAAACAACAATAGAAATCAATGACTCTCACTGGAAAATCCCAGTATTACCAGAAGAAAATAACCATCCCATCTGAGTTAGAATCTCTACCAGTGAAGAGTAAGGACACCTACTGTATGACAACCTCCAAAGCCTGACCTAAGGAGACAGGCTTGTTATTAAGAACATTGAAGTCCAACTGATGACTGAGATAGGAGGTGGCTTCAAGTAACCGATTGAACTCCTGTTCCACCATTTCATCTTTCTCTTTAGGAACCTAAAAGTCAAAAAAGGTAATGGATTTGTCTTTGCACAGTTAAAAAAAAAAAAAATGCAGAGTGCACTAAAGCTCCAAATTATGAAAGCATAAGGTGGAACCTAGCAGGTATGCAACTGGGTTTGTTAGAACTGAAATCCTAAAAAAAGTCAGAGCAATGATACTTCGATTTTATCTTCTATTGTTGAGTCAGTATCACTACTACATAGGCTTAATCAAAATAAAACCAGCTGCCTCAAGTGCCTTCTCTTCAAATCAGAGTGCTACCTAGCAATAAATAAGGCAGGGAGCAGATCCACATGCTAAGGTTCACAAAGACATTACTATCTTGATCTAGGGTGATACTTTGTTTAAAAGCTTTTGTGGACTACATACATGGGTAAGATGAGGAGAGGTATGATCAACTGTGTCACGCTTTTCAGAACAGATACTGCCAGCTCTTCCGGATGAGCTACTGTTCATCCTCATTTGTGAGATTCAATCAACCCACTGAAGCTTCCTGAAAATAGTCTCCAGTGGGACTACTCTCCTTCCTCCTTTCCACCCACATAAGAGTTCAACTATTCCATTTCCCCTATCTTACCATCCCTGCCTTTTGTGGTAACAAGGTCATCTGGACTCCTCAGGCAAAAAGTGACAATCCCTTTAAAAAAATTCCAAGGGGAAAAATGTCTAGACTTACAGCTTGTCCATTAGCTTCATAAAGTGGACATTTTTGTTTGATCTTTGCCAGTTCCATGTTCACTTGTTTGCTGACCACAGCCATTGGATTCCCTCCTGGAAAAGGTCTGGTGTTAGATCCAGCATGAATGCAAAAAGTAAAAAGCTGTCCACAAAACCAATTCCAAAGCCAATAACAAATTCAATGCACCTTTATATTAAAGCAGAATGTCTTTCAATAAAGAAGTAAAAACATTTAAATGTTGTGAAGGTCTTCTAATGGCACCTCTTACCATAGAAACCACCTCTTCCTAGCATTCAAGGGAAGAACTACAGGTAGGAAAATCTGATAAGGAAACAAATCATCTCTGAGATGGCAGCAACAAGCAGGGCAGACTTGCAAGTTGATGGTCTCAGGAATGCAGAGGTTAAAGAGCAGTGCAAAAACCCCCTGAAGGACAGAGGGAAGTTACAGCTTATAATACAGTTGGTTATATGGCAGAAAACTTGGTACATTTAGTTAGTGTGCCGAGAAGAGAAACAAATCCCAGAACCAGTACAAACGAACAATTCAAACCACCACAACGATTTTGGGACTTACTATTTTCTGGCTCTGGATCAAAATACTGACCAATTATAATGTACTACAAAGCAGCATCACTTGCTCTTTATCAACCTCAGATTCACACTTTTTGTTTCCTGGTGCTGTGAATACCACATTGCTGAAAAGCTATGGGCCAAGAAACCACTGGTCAACATGATTTAAGAGTCTGAACAGAATGAGATCAGAAAAAGAAAAGTCTTCTATCTAGATCACACCTACATTTCCAGTGAACTGACTCCAATTACAATGAAGACTACTTATCCTTCATCAGGGCATCATCACTATCCTTCATCATCACATGTTTGTTTGTTCATTTTTTCTAATTTTAAAAAATAAAGAAAAGACTCACCCAGACCTGTTACCACCATGGCTCCTAGATCAGCAACATAATTGCCTTTGCGAAATGTAGCAACTCTTCCTCCTACACGATCCTGTTAAAATATATAATCAGCTATTTTTATTCAGTTCAGATAAGTGATAAGATACTGTAACAACAAAACTGCTCTGAAAATCATTATTCTGAAAAGCCCTACCTACAAAGAGGGCTACCACACCTACAGTAAAGCTCTACTGTAAGTTTCTGAGCGAGTTTTCATTATATGAACTCACAAGTTCTTAATCCAGTCATATGAGTTTATGAAAACAAGCACCTCAATCTCATTAAAAAAAAAATGTTATGAGCATAGGGCAAACATGCATCTAGACTAGAGCACAATACAGAAAAGAACAATCCTCCAATGATGTGGATTGGGCTAGACTCCCATTTCAAATTTCAAGGACTAAACTGCTATTTTAAAGGTTATGTTTCAGAATGAAGCTTTAATAACCAAAAGATATTACACACAAAATAAAATATTGTTTGAGAATACATGTGTGTCTACACATGCATACCATAGCAGTTTTCTGCACAGATAATCGTCTCATTTATGAGAGGACCTATTAATAGATACAAAATTGGTCTTATTTTCAATGGTTAAAGCATTTTTACCCCCCCCCCCAAAAGTGCTTTAACCACTAAAAATAAACAGATTTTATATCTATTAATAGGTCATCTCGTAGATGAGAAAATTATCAATATAAAAGATGACTATAGTAGACCTGATACTTGAGAGAGTTGGAACCCTAAGCCCACTGATGATATGTGAACTAGCTGAGGCGTAGATCACCACAACAAAAATATGTGCTGGACCAGAGGTCTCCCAGCTGTCTGATGAGGCTTTCTGGGCAAAGGACACCACCTTGCCACTCAGATGCACAGGGATCTGGCTCTGCTCCCACTGATCAGAGAAGTAGCACCCTTTGAAATAAACGCCACAGGAAGCAGCAGAGCAGCTGCTTAATTCATCACAAATTTGAGTTGCAAACCATCCCCATACCAAATCCAGCACATTCCTGTAAATAAACGTCTGTAATATTTAATCAGTGATTTGGAAGAAAATATGTAGTTACTAGTGATAACCTGCAGATAGCAAAGGATAGTGGATAATAAAGACAGACCACTGATAAAGTAAAACTGGACAAAATCCAACTGCAAAACCATTCATGCTGGGGGTGGGGGGGAAAATGGAGGTCACCCAGAACTGGAGAACAGTTTGGAGAATGTGACTCAAGAGAGACTCATGAGTTATTGTAAGTCAAGTGAAGAGGACATCCTAGCGGGAAAGTGACAAGGAACTTTATCCTTGAATACATAAAAACATGGAATATTAAGTAAGATAACAGTACTTCTGCTGTTCAAATTGGACAAACTTCAGATAAACTACAAGTAAGTGATTCATGGTCTAAAGAGCTCCGTGCATTAAGCTTAGCATAAATGTTTAAGAGATTATTTGATCATGTTAAATACCTACTTAAGGGCATTAACCTAGCAAAGGCATAACAAGAGGCAACAGCTGAAAGCCAAAAATCAAAGTTTAAACTGGAAAAAAGATTTAAAATGTGCAGTGAGTGAAATCAACTCATAACATTTATCAGGGTTTGTTTTTTATTAGCAGGAATTTATGGTTTTATGAATCATATCCATCTCTCTCTCTTTTTTAAAGAGATGTACCCTGGTTCACAAATTGGAATATGTGAATGAATCACTGGGTAAAATTCCATCAATTGCATTGACAGGATTTTAGATGTTTTCAAATGACCTTAAGGGCTATTCATCAATGAAGTAGCAAGAACCAGCAAGAAGAGAAGAAATGAACACATAACAAAGAAATGGCTACAAACTGAACATGTTTAGACAGAAAAGTAGGGGGAAAAAAAAGATTTCTAATGACAGTAAAATCTCCGTTATCTGGCAAGACTGGGGAATGTTGGGTGTTGGTTATGTAAAAATACAGGATACCTAAAATTTCTGGAGCAGGGGAAAGGTGACTGCAAACAGTGGCAGCAGTAGCAGGGCAGGGTGGTTGCACGCAGTAGTGGTGTGCATTGATTGCACATGGCAGTGGCACAGGGGGATGAATAGCGGCGGCGTGGTGCTGGTTAATAGAGTATTCCAGCTAGCAGAATGCTGGATAACAGGGATTTTACTGTATCAGACAAATGCATTTTAGAATGGACTTCCAAGCAAAGTGGTGGGGGCAAAAAATCTGAATTTAAAAGGATGAGAGGATGGTGTTAGGTGGAGTCTTTGGTTCAGTGAGTGAGATGTGTTCCTATGAAGCACCATCAGATTGAAGTTCAAACTAACAGGAAACGCATCAAACCAGCTGGCTTAAGTGCAGCTTGAGCGTACATGCATATTAGACAGTTTTGCCACATGAAAATAATTGTCACACTCCACACTGTTAAGATGGCACATAATGGGCTCAGGTGAAAGGCCAAGCCTGACACCAAAAAAGGTCCCTGAAGAAAGGAAGGATATGAACACAGGTTCACCACTGGTAACCAGGGATGACTTTCACAAAATCCATTGTTTTTTGTGGCCCAACCTCAGTGGGAGAGGGAAAAGGAAGTATTTGCAGCTTAGACAAAATGAAGCCAAATAGAACATGTTCATTCCACATACCTGGGTCTGGTGCCACAGAACTACCTTTTAGTGAAGCAAGAATGCAACTGGCTCACTTAAGCTGAATTTCACAAAGGATATGACCAAACTGCTGGATCCAGGGTTTTCTTTCCGAGGGAAAGCTATCCTAACCCAAGCTTATCTAGCTAAAGTTACATGGAAGACTAAGTTTTCTTCACCATAGGATAAAACTCTCTCTTTACAAAGTATGGGACTTTTAGTATTGCCCTAATAGTTCTATATAACCACAGCATGTAGCTGTTTTATTCTATACAGATTGCTGGAAAACGTAAAGGAATAAACAAGATGTCCAGAGTCACTGGGCTCTGAGACAAAACTCTTTTAATGAAAAAATGCATCCAACTGCCAAAGACTTGCCTCTCGTGACCATGGAGAAAGGGGGAAGCTGTAAAGGACTTTCCTAATCATATTCTTGTGCCTGGTCAAACAGAAGACAGCATAGGCTATAGCCCTGCTACAAAAGGCCAGAAGAATGGCAGCAGCATAACCTTAAGAGGCAGGGGTTGATGCCCTAAGTGGAGAAAAAAATATATATTCCTGCTTCTGAGTTAAAGGGAATCTAACCACATGCCAGCCCATCTAGATCACCATTGGCCATTCATATGGTTTTACCAGTTCCTTCAGGGTGCTCCCCATATAAGTGTGTAATTAGTTCTGGTTACTGGCTAAATTTAACTGAATTCTCTTTGAACAGCAAGTCCATACCCTGGCTTCCAGAACGGTGACATCCATCCCAAAACTCTGCAATTGCCGAGCAGCTGCCAAGCCAGACACTCCAGATCCTATAATAATCACTTTTCCAGTCTTCTTGGCTAGAGAGATGAAAGCAAAAATTAAAAAGGGCAAACATGCATTGTTACAGGCCCAAGAGTCTAAATTCAAATAAAGCCCTGAAGTTCTCAAGAAAGAAATCAGCTACTTTAATTTCTTAATTGCTAGGTATAACATCCTTGTAACTTTGTAATATTCAGCACTTGGGATGCAGATATACCCAAAGTGATTGTTACTGAGTAATTTGCCCCAGATTTCACTCTAATAAATTTACTCTGTATTAAAGAGGGGACACATGATCAGCTCTTCGAAGCTACCTGTCTGCAGTAGGCACTATTACACCTACACCTGCCAGCATCCTAGGTCGCAGAGAAGCCAGTCTGTGTTGAGCAAACAGATACTGGGAATGGATAAAGTCGATCATGGCAGCAGACACCATACATTCTATATAGTAGCATTCCTTCACTACAATGCCTTCACTTCCTGTTTTTTCAAGGTGCAATTTTACCCAGAAAATGTGATTTATTATATAACAGAACTGTGCTTCATGTGTCCACTCCCACTTTCATTACACAGTAAAGCTAATTTACTACGTAGCATGCGTCACCTGTCTGCACCTTCAGTAAGCAGCAGAGGTTAACTGGGAATTTCAGATAAACAATGGAAAAAGTTAATAGCAGCTACGTGAACAGGGCTTCTACACTGCACGTTCATGAAAGGCCAAATGCTCCACAAGTACTAGACCATCTGGCCTTGCATGAATGTGATTAAGTCTGCTCCTTAATAAAGCTCACGTACACTAAGATTTATAATGCTCTGAGGTAGTGTTCAGGGAGCTAAATTTCTACAGTACTACCCACCCCACTGATCAATCATTTACCGATTGTCAACTATGGAACCTTTCATGCTGTCACTGAACTGTTATTAAAATGCTAAATAAAACACTGCAACGGGAAAAAATGGAAAAATTACAAACAAGGCTTAGAGCACAATCCTCAGACTCAGGAGACAGGGGCATGGTCCAAGGGTTTGCATACACAGAATGCACTGCTTTAAATATCAGTAATAAAATCGAGGCAGCAGGCAGGAGATTTTGTGCGACGATCACCGTTGCCGTTTTCATGTTTTTTTTGCAGCAAGACCCCCCCCCCCCCTCCCCCTGCTGGGCCAAGATGGGACCCCCCCCCCACACCCCCCATTTGGGGGGGGGGGTGGC